TTTACGGTTTCATAGTTCATTTTTTCATAGCTTGCTTTAGTGTTCCATAGTTACCGTTACATAGTTTGCTTTACCGTTTCATAGTTCGCTTTACCGTTTCATAGTTACCGTTTCATAGTTCGCTTTACCGTTTCATAGTTACCGTTTCATAGTTTGCTTTACCGTTTCATAGTTTGCTTTACCGTTTCATAGTTCGCTTTATCGTTTCATAGTTCGCTTTACCGTTTCATAGTTCGCTTTACCGTTTCATAGTTACCGTTTCATAGTTTGCTTTACCGTTTCATAGTTCGCTTTACCGTTTCATAGTTACCGTTTCATAGTTTGCTTTACCGTTTCATAGTTCGCTTTATCGTTTCATAGTTCGCTTTACCGTTTCATAGTTCGCTTTACCGTTTCAGTTCGCTTTACCGTTTCATAGTTCATTTTACCGTTTCATAGTTCATTTTTTCATAGTTTGCTTTACCGTTTCATAGTTACCGTTTCATAGTTCGCTTTACCGTTTCATAGTTCGCTTTACCGTTTCATAGTTCGCTTTACCGTTTCATAGTTACCGTTTCATAGTTTGCTTTACCGTTTCATAGTTCGCTTTATCGTTTCATAGTTCGCTTTACCGTTTCATAGTTCGCTTTACCGTTTCAGTTCGCTTTACCGTTTCATAGTTCATTTTACCGTTTCATAGTTCATTTTACTATGGCAGCAAGTTTTTCTACCATTTAGACAGCGTGCGGCAGACTAACTTTACAAAACTAATAAACATATCAACATGACTTACTCGATGAACATAGAGGGGTTAGTGTCCTCGGAAAGGACACCTCGTGTCATCCAGCTTTTATAGCGGTTTACCAGAATAAACAATGTGAGCTAACTGTTCATTAGCATGTTAGCTAGGGAGCATGCGAGGGACCAACTTACCGGCTCGACAGCGATCGGCAGACTGAGGCCGTAAGCTACAGGTTGCCCCGCCCACGTGGGGCGCCCACGTGACACCCACCCGCCTATCGCTGTAATGATCCGTCTAACGTCTCGTTACACAAACATAAACCAGGGAAGAAAAGTTAATAAATGTATATTAATAATATTATTAATAATCCGGTGTGTTGGCAACAGTGGTTGACTACATGCAGCGTTCATTCATCCGTCCACGCAGCAATACTCATTAGTTGGTCCACTGTTTTATGCAATGTAGATAATAATATAGTTAATAATGTGGTTTAATCAAAGTGGTGTGTGGTCGCAGACTCGTGATATTTTGCTCTGATATTTGAGCAGAGCAGAGTAAACGTGTTCACATTCATCTCTACCACTGGGTGGCAGCATGCGTCTATTTACAGTTTTGTTATCGATCTGGGTTATTACAGATTTATTTAATGCTGCTCACGTCATGTGCTGTTTAGGGTTTATTTGCAACGTATACATTTTGCTATATTCATGTCAGGTAACAGTAAAAATGTGTTGGTCATTAAGAAATGAATAATGAGTTTAAGAATAAAAACGTCTGATCAAAATCATTCTTATGTAGACCGGCTTATTCTTGTTGTTCCACACCTGTTATTATTATTATTTTTTTAATGCTTTTGAGTAATTAGTAATAAATATAATTTGTTATATGTATTGCAAACAATATTCAATAACTCCACTTGTTGTAGGAGCTCAGTCAGCTTTTGTTGAGCCATGGGGTGACGAGTCACCTGCATGTTGCTGTTGCTTTCCCATCGTTGTGTGTGAGACACTTCATTCCAGGTTTCACATGCAACAGTTTGTGGTGGATTCCAACATCCGGTTTAGCGTTCAAAAACCATTTGCCCTTCCGCGGTCAAACACCTGACAAACACCGTGCATCCACAACCTAAATACCGAGCTAATTCCTGCTTAGTGGACCGTCACCCAGTGTACACAACGGGGGACACAGTTTATTATAAGCACACGCCTGTTATTAAAGAATCAGGAGTGCATTTTTTAAGTGCATTTGTATGAGGATTTATGTTCTCATACAAAATGGAACCCATGCTGAATTCAAAATGGAGGTCAAGTTTTACTTTTTTGAGGAAGTTCCTGCATTAGATCAACAAAATGGGCGGTTATAATGAACGTGATGTCATCCCTTGTTTGTGGCTCACAGCTTCAGCATAGACAGCAAACGTGTGCTGTGGCCTGCTGATGCCTCTAGTCCTCCTTTGGAGAAATTTACTGTAGCACAACTATTTTCTATTCAATCCGTTTTAGTACAATTTATTCATCTCTGGAGTTTCTTCAAGTCTACCCAAAGATTTTGGCTTTTGAGTAATTATTAATAATCATTTTGGATATTTAGTGCAAATAATATTCAATAAGACCATTGTTAGCTATACTTGAGCTTTTGTTACTTATTCAAAACTGAAGACAGGAAGGAAGGAAATACAAATGTAGGGCTTTAAATCTGCTCTGCTCTAAGCGTGATGTTTAACAAATGAATGCACAGAAAATGAACTGTCTTGTTATTTATTGAAATAATAATACATGTACACCAGCGACTTTGTGAATCATCTTAAAAAAGAACAGGAATTACAAGTTACAAGTAAACATTATTTTAGCGTTATTTTACGGTAAAATACCACAAATGGCGTTTGCACTATACCGTAAAATGGATTACTGTATGTTACCATAAACTTGAACGAATTTGACTGTGAATTAACTGCAATTTACTGGCAGTTGACACTAGTAATTTACTGTTTTATTTACCGTGCCCTACCGTAATTTACGGTATGTTGTTGTATATTGGATTACAGTTTGTTACCATACGATTACTGTTTTTGTGTTATAAATACCAGAATGTCAATGTCAATTTTATTTATACAGCACTTTTAAAGGCCAGTGGCCAGCCAAAGTGCTTTACAGGATAAAAAACAATCAGCATCAATAAAACAATACGAAGAAAACGTAAAACAAACAAAAAATAAAAAAAATTAAAATGAACAGTAAAAGGCAAACACATAAGAGAACGATGCAGGTGACTTAACTCGGCCAAAGGCCAATGTGAACAAGTGAGTCTTAAGGCGAGTTTTAAAAGTGGAAAGGCTCGTCTCAGACCGCACAGAAAACGACAAAGCGTTCCACAGTCTGGGAGCCGCTACAATGTTACCGTTTACTTATAACCGTATACTTTTGCATTCAATTCCCCACAAATTAAAGAAAGACCACCAAACTCAGCTCGGTCATAGTGGTTGGAGTTTATTAGATGCCTTTAAGACAAAAATATTTGGCATTTGTAACCAAGATCAAAACATAAAATATGTCCCATACAATAATAAAAAAATCAATCATTAAATTATTAGGAACAAGGTAAACTAACTGCAACAATACGCTATGGAACACTTTCAATTGACCGCAGCAAACGGCTGGCGTCCTTAATCCAGAGCCTCCGTAAAACAAACCAAAATAAAACATTTAGAAACACTTTCATTGGTAAAATATTAAAATTACAAAGATGAGGAAGACAACAAGATGTAAGGAAAGAGAATGTTAATCATGTCAGGCAAATAACACTTCCCAGTGAGCACAAGACGTAATTTCAACGTTGAAATATGGTTGAAATCGGGTTGAAATGAGGTCTGAACGTCTAAGACCTCATTTAAAAGTCTTTTCAACCGGCTAAAAATGGGATGAAACATCAACGTGCCAGAAAACGTCAATTTGTTGATCAATGTGTCATGTTGTAACGTAAGGTTGAAAGATAGACGATATTAACGTTAAGATTTTCATAATAATTAATTAATTAATGAACTTCAGTGATCACATTATGAAATAAAAGAGTGTTCACTGTTGACAGAATGCTGAGAAGTGTGTGTACCTTGTATGCTGTGTGTATTTAATCTGTGCATTCACCTGTATGTGATACGTTTGTATTAATGAGGATTTTTTTTTTTAATTATAGATGAATATAAATAGTTAGAACGTTCTGTCACAACGATGTTGTTACGTGTCGTCGCGCTTTTATTGTCAGTGGTTAGTGGTTAGTATAGTGACGCGCTCAACGAGCATCGCGTGCTGCCGTGAGTCCCCGCCCCCCTTCGAGGCCTTTCGATAGGCCTGATGAGTCATAGGACGCATCACTCCTGAGGCCAAAACCCGTCGGCACTCACACCACGTCGTTCATTCGTGAGAGACACTGCTGGTATAGAGCAATATTTCAATAATAAATCCAATCTTTAAGATGGTTGTCACCTTTCGTTCATGTTTGCGGTGTGTGACGCAGGCGGTTCAACAAACATCGTTGCTGCATTAAAATCATTTTTAGTAATTCCTGCTCTTTTTGGAGATGTTTCACTCAGTCGCTGCATATATTTATTTCAATAGTAAATAACAAGACAGAATAAAGATCTCAGTCACTTCAGCATAAAGCTTATAAAACACTTTCGGATCGGTGCTTGATACCAAATTGTCATTATCAAAAAAGTCACAATTAAACATGAATATGCTGATTTTATAATGTGAATCATTGTATTCTGTTATACAAATGTGGTCACAAGGGCTGCAGCTGAAATACACGTCAAAGCAGTTCAATCAAAGGGGTTTGGGAAACGGTGCCGTGATATAAAGGATCCACACACACGATAAGGGTCTCCTGCACTTTGAAATGTCCCGCAGACGAGGATGCAAATTTGCGACCATATACCGCCCGATCGTGTCCGCCAGCCGCCGCTTTGAAACACATGTGGGAAAAGTCTGCGTGGCCGCACGCGACATCAATCTAGAATGTGCTCAACATGGACGAAATGGCTATAGGTGTAATACACTGGGTTTTCAGGAGAAGGATGTGTTGTGATTTGTCCTAATTAGTCACGTAAGCGTAATTGTTGAGTTCCGAGCGGAAGAGTGCGAGCAAGCTATATATTCTGGCAGTCCTGAATAAATAGGGTTCGTGAAACCCACCCCGGTTTCTGGCCGCTTATTTACATTCCGCCCTGCGGTGTGTTTCGTGACTTCAAATCGCGAGGTGATACGGCCGGAGAACAAAACAGGCGCTGCCGATTGGCTGTTGGCACAGCCAATCGGCAGCGGCCTCCAAGAGTATATAAGGAGGCGTTCAGCCTTCGCGAGAGACACACCCGCGAAACGGCCGCCAGAGTAAAGACCGACAATGAATTGGCTTCTCAAACGGCTCTTTCTCTTATGCGCTGTCCACTGTTCTCTTGTAGAATGTGTTCCGTATTTATTGATCATCGGAGATCAAGTTAAGTTTCCCGCGCTGAAAGGACGCGAGTTGAATGGATGCGAGCTGCGGCATTGCCCGCGCGATGCCAGCGATCGTCTGGTGGCTGCGTGGGACGATCTTTGGACGCCGGCACCAGACTTCCGAGACCGGATGACTCCGAACGAGACCGTCACCTTAAACAGCGCAAACGCCAACGACGCAGGACTGTACGAGTTCAGGTCCGGCACCGGCAAAGTCATCCAGCCTTTGGTCCACGTGCACGTTTTTCTAAGCACCAATCGCACGGTGACCGAGGGGGACTCGGTCTCCTTCGCGTCCTACGCAAACACGAGGGGACGCGGGGTCTTCACGGTGGCTCGAAACGAAAAGCCGGTGTTCGGACTAGACTACGGGTCCGGGAAACAGACCCGCGGTCCCGGGTTCGAGGACAGGGTATCCATCTCCCCCCAGTGGAAGGATGAGGGGAACTTGACGATCACGCTGAAAGGGGCGACGACTGCAGATGAAGGCGTTTACTTTTTCTACGTCCGAGACAAATTGGGAGAGACGGTGCCGCTCCATGCTGCGAGGCTGAAAGTCAACACGCGCGGCCCGGATCAGACCACCAGCGGCCCGGTGAGTACCAGCTCAGTCAGTGCTGCCAGGGCCGTTTGAAGGAATTTGGGGGCCCCAAGCAAAATGGACATGGAGGCCCCCCCCAAGCCCCCGCCGCGCGCACGCAAAACCCACAGGAACCACAGCACAGCCATAAAGTTTAACAGGACAGGCCTGTCCTGTCGCGACGGGCCTGAGTGCTGCCTATAGGCACCCATCCATGTATTCTGGTCACCATCTCTGTACTATATATTTCACCTATCGAGTTATTCCTCTCTTAACCTGTAAAAGGACCAGATGCAGCTCAAGAAGTTCATCAAATGGGGACATTTATGTTTGAACTGAACGCGGTGTCTTTTCCATAAATGAAATAAATACAATGACTGTAGTCCGAGTTACGTCATATCACAGACGGGACGTCACGTGTAGAATACAGCATGCATTAAATGCGGTGTGTGCCGTGCATCCTTTTTTTAATCTTCACTGTGTGTCTAACTTAATCTGTGTTTCCTCCCTCTCGTTCTGCCGCTTGTAGGCCACTCAGAGCGAGAACAACATCTGGACTGCCGTCCCCATCACGAGCGCACTTCTGGCGGGGCTGGTGGCGGGGCTGGTGGCGGGGCTGGTGGTGGGTCGCAAGGCCCCCTCTCTGCTCGGACACTTGAAGACGTGCCGCTCCAGGTCCCGCTGCCGCCCAGATGCGGTCTCACATCCAGATGCGGCAGCACAGCTACTGAACGGGAACTCTCGGATCCCTGAAGCCTCTTTGGAAAGTTCCCACGCAGAGTCCAAAGTCTGAACACGCAACAAATGTTCTCCTGCTGGATGTCTGTTACTTCCAAGTAAATGATACATTGTGTCATTACACCAGTGTTGGGAGGATTAAATTATTTTTTAGTTATTTAATAAAATAAAGAAATAAATCTACTCCCTGTTCACATTCTTTTAGCCTGCATAGGCTTCAGGAACCTTATTGCCCAAACAGCCCAGAATAAAGTGACATGGCCGATATTATTAGGAATAAAGTCCATCAATGTTAACCTTTATGTTGCAATGGTAGGAGATTGAGGCAGAATTGTATTATTTTGTACAGTTGTAAAGACCAGAGGTCTCACCTGAAGCCCCAGATGAGGGGCTTCCTCTTCAACCCCGAGTTAATGGAGGGACCCTCGCGGGTTAACACTGATGGTTATGGCTGCTTTTATATCTCATTGTTTTATATATCTGTATAGAATAAAGTGACAAGGCCGATATTTCTAGGAATAAAATCCGTCAGTGTTAACCTTTCTTACGTTGGGATAAGATGAGTGACATTTCCTTATTGATTAAGAGATAAAAAGTATTATGTGGCATAAAATCACTTTTTCTTCAGGAAACAGAGCAACTGTACAGAAAAGATGTCAGACTGATCACATTCATTAGCTTTAAATAATACATTAATTCTCTTTAAATAACAATACTATTAAAGAAAATAATCATACTGGGCAGATTAAAGACATTGAGTCATTATTTATTAATGCATCGATCAGATGAATCAGAAATCTGACAATAAGGTTGGCAGATTCAAATCACACACAGGATTTTCTCATTTACACAGAAAAACAACAGGCAGGAAAAGTCACAACAAATAAATGTACGAGTCAAGTGACTTACAAGTCCGTTAAAATGAAGTGAATATAGAGCAAAACATTGTTAATCTGCTACAGTTTGAGCACAAGCCCACATAAGATGTTTACTACTACAGAGGCGCATGCTCCTGGCGGGAATGTCTTTAGCGAGATGCCGTGAAGCCTGAAGCGAGCTCTCAAACTGTCACGCTGCTCTCCTCCTCCTCCGTTACGCGACGCAACGCTGCCGCGCTCACAACCAAACGGTGTCCAGCCTTAAAACCAGAGCGATTACAATGATAAAAGGAAGAGAGGGTACGTGGTAAAATGATAAATAACACAATGGGCAGAATAGACCAATCAGAAAGTAAAATATACAAAACATTAGCAACACACAGCTTGTAACAAAAGGTACAGTATGA